TCTGTTAATTCTCTTAACTCATCTTCTTGTCTACCTCTGTGTGCTATTTGGAACGTGGCAACTCGAACTGCTGCACTTCGGTGCCAAGTTCTATGTTGAATCCAGACAGACAGACAGGAGATAGAACGCAGACACCTATGACCAAAGACAGTTAGTCGGCCTTTTCATGACTTCTTCCATTTCCAATGGCCATATGTCAAAGCCATAGAGGAGGAAAGAGTGAACTGTTGCAACGTCCACGTCAGAGAAGGTGTAAGCTGAAAAATGCCACACAAGAACCTTTTGTGTCCGCGTTGAGTTTTCGTCAGCTGATCAGTCAGTCAACTGGGGCTGATGCAACTTCTCAACTAAGTCAAATGGTCAGCAAGCTCTACTAATTCGCTCCCTCCCTATCTTGAAGCTAGGAGTGAGACAATGTAGTCCAGTCAGTCCTGTAGCCTCATCATCTTACATTTGACAAGGGGAACAAATCGCATGGCAAATATTCGAAGACTGAGCCCAGCTCAAGGTGCTCAGAAGACTCTGCTCTATTTTATCAGTGTCATTACTTAGGAGGACTATATCATATGTATGTTCTAAATCAACGAGATTATTCTGTGGTTCGTAACAAATCAATCGCTGGGTCGCTGAAGTCAATTAGGGTTAAGCCCATCAGTACAATATCCATGCAGGCGACCACCTTATAATGACTGGAATTACGACCTAGTAGACTATAAGCAAATACTAACTTAATGCGCTGTCTAATCTGTCCTAATCGCACGTCGACAACAACAACAATAACTCCGCCGGACCACAAATGACAGAAGAGGAGACTGGACGTTGGTAAAGGAGTTTTTACTGTCTCAAAACAACAATCAAAAAAAGTTGACAGAGCTTGCGTATATATATATATATGTTTGAAATGACCTTGAGAAGCACTAATGTCATTGACAAATTAAGACAGTAAACAACCAATAGGATTCCAAAGGTTAAAAATACCGTGAGAGGAGTACAAAGAGACATGTAAAATGAAATTTAGAAAGTTAGGTCTATATATCAACATTAGTGGTTGTCATCACAGTTGTGTCAGATGAAAACTCTCCGTAGGCTCTCACCTAGCTGACGGCTGCATGACTTCGAGTAGAGTGAGTGCCTTGATCAGTGAGATGTATTTTCTCGGCACTCACTACACAGCCAAACGTCGCAAGTAAAATCACACGCCAACAGATCTCCCAACTGGAAACCGAATGCGACGCAACAAGTAGAGGGCATGAGAATCCGATGATGACAAAGAGAAGAGCATATATAAAGACGATGTGAAAGCTAGCTTCGCCAGTCACAGAGCCAGCTGAAAAGGCTCATGGAGAACCAAGTCAGAACTGAAATGTACCATCAAAAGTCCAATTTTCTACTTCAAACGCAAGTGTAATAACGATGCTACCCAGCTACCACCACCACCACCAACCCCAAGTTAAATTTGGCCAAACAGGATTCGAATCCAAGACTGGACGGCTAAACGTGGACGTGCTTCTCTCAAGTTCATAAATACCTGTTTAAACTTTAGTATATCAATATCTGTTTTTATTTTTTTTTTATTTTATTTTTATTTTAGCTTGATTCCACACTGTATTTTGTTGGTACAAGTATGGAATTTTCAGCATGTGATATCGGTAGCCCAAATTTTGCAGGCCGACCATAGAGTGATATCAGCTGTGCGTCGGGTGGGGGAGGGCGGGCTCGAACCCCGGACCATGTGCATGGTAGGCGAGAGTGCTAACTGCTGTGCCACCGACGCACACCCCCAAAAAAAACAACAACATCGAATTATGATGTAAACATTTTTCATTCAAATCAATCAGCTAACTAACTACCTACCTACCTGCCCTATTCTACACACTCGTACAGTTTTTATGATTAGGTAAATCAAGGAGGCTGAGTACAATATTCACATATCTACATTACATATTCTAGAAAAATACGGATATACCTATGCATATACATATATACAATGTAACAACAATGAAGGTTAGTCAATCGGAAAGCCGAAATAAAATACAAGAATAAAAACAAATTCTAAAAATAATAACAATAATAATAATGATCAACAAATCTCTGTGGAATAAACTTAAGAAAATCATATGACAACAACAAAAACAAGTTAAATATGTTCACATACATTCATAATGATTTATAAAAAATGTTGCCATAGGAGCAATAATAATAATAATCTACTACTAATATAACAACTACTGAGTTATTAGTTCAGTTTTTGGGATGCTTGACTAGTGAGTGAGTGACTTCATGACAGAAGGGGTTGCACATCAGAGTTAGAGGATGAGCAAACTCTTTCATTTAATTGGTTGGATGGTGACTAGCAGTGGAATCCACCCAGGGTGAGCGTTTCGTCCGATTTGAGACTCGTCAATTGGACGTATCTCCAATTTGAATAATTTTATATCACTAGTTTTATCTTCACTCACTGGGTGGACCCAGATGATGAGTCACAAATAGGACGAAACGGGCGAAGTGGCCCTAACCAACGCCTTCCTCGACAACGGGCAACGTTAGCTGATATAGGGTCAGGATGGAGAAGAGCTAGTTAGTGGTGGTCAAACCAAAACCGACATGGCTTCATCAGTCAATGAAAACCACAACAATTAGTTTAAGCTAATCACGTAGGGAGATGTAGACTTCTTTACTAGCTGGTTGGTGTCCTTGAAATGGCTGAAGACAATTAGTGATATGGCTCAAAACCGTTGTCAATGAATAGCGCAGATGCATCCAGTTTTTGTGACTTATAATACTCAATAAAACTATGCTGTTCTTCGATATTACTATTCCTTTTGTCTCATATCCCTGTCTACTGTCTCTATTTTGCATTTCTTCTACTTTCTTCTTTTGCTTTGTGTAGTACGTGGCGGGAGTGTGGAGACTTTTTCCAGCCGCCTCGCACACACACACACACACGCATACACAAATTTCCCGCATTTTTAAAACAAAACAATGTAAACAATTCTGTCTGTCTCTGTCTGGATTCAACATAGAACTTGACACCGAAGTGCACCAGTTCGAGTTGCCACCTTCCAAATAGCACACAGAGGTAGACAAGAAGGTGAGTGAAGAGAATTAATAGAGTTTGACAAATATAAGAGTGAAACAGAATGGGTAATGGTAGAAAGGAATATGAAAGATTACAGAGACTGAATACATCTGAGCTGGCCATTGACAACGATTTTGAGCCATGTCACCTACTGTCTCCAGCCATTGATTCCTAGAGTCCCGAGGGCCCCAACCCGGGAGTCTGCATCTCCCTACCTGACTCAGTTTAACTGTCAAGGATTTCATGGATTGATGCCATGTTTTTGTTTGGCCACCACTGGCTCTTTTCCAACCTGAACCTATATCAGCTAGCAAAGCCCGTCGGGGGAGGCGGTGGTTAGGCATGCGCACCACCTGACCTAGCCATCTTAGTCTATGTAACTTTATAGCCTCGTCGATTGATTTTCCCTCTTTGCCCAACACTCTACGCCTAACGTCAACATTACTTATCTTGTGAAACCACCTAACGTGAGACAGAGATCGCAGACATCTATGATCGAAAGCAGTCAACCTTTTCATGTCTTCAACGCGTATTGGCCATGTTTCAGAGCCATAGAGAAGGACGGAGCCAACTGATGAGCAGTACACACGTCCCTTGGTTGATAACCGGATGTCACGCCTACGCCAGAGATGGTGTAAGTCAGCGAAAGCAGCTCGAGCTTTTCGGATCCGTGCTGAGATTTCATCGCCAATCAGTCCGTTGGTGCTAATACAACTTCCCAAGTAGGTGAAGTGGTCAACGTGTTCTATCACTTCACTCCCTATCACTAAGTTAGGGGTTGACGTCGTCCAGTCCTGTAGCAGCATCTTACATTTTGCAGGGGCGAATCGCATGCCAAACATACGAAGATTGCTGTTCAAGGTGTTCAGAAGACTCTGCATTTTGTCATCATCCTCCCCTAACAGGACTATGTCATCTGCATATTCTAAGTCCATAAGACTATTCCCTGGTAACAAGTCGATTCCTAAGTCACTACGTTCAGTTAAGGATACTTCCATCAGCATATCTATGATGAAGTTAAACAGAAATGGGGAAAGTGGACATCCCTGTCGGACACCACTGGTTGTTACTAATTCAGATGACAATTCCCCATAAGCCCTTACACGACTACGTGAGTTTGAATAGAGTGCCTTGATTAGTGCAATGTACTTTCTTGGCACTCCCTTCACAGTTAGACATTGCCATAGTACCTTTCGATCCACGGAGTCGAAGGCCGCCTTCAAGTCAAGAAATATGACAATTGTTGGACGCCGAAAAGTGTGTCTATGTTCTAGAATCTGTCGAAGAGTGAAGATATGATCTATGCACCCTCTACCTGGTCTAAAGCCTGCTTGATTTTCCCTTGTCTGTTCCTCCCGAGTTCTGCTTAGTCTATGCATGATTACTGAGCCTAGGATTTTAGAGACTATGTTCGTTAGGCTGATCCCCCTATGATTATCACACGAGGACTTGTTTCCCTTCTTGAATATCGGCATAATAAGTGACTTACCCCAGTCTGATGGTACTGTCTCTGATTCCCAGATTTTGCCTAGTAACTCAGTTAGTCTACAAACTAGTATGTCACCCCCATATTTAAACACCTCCGGAATAATTCCGTCGGGTCCTGCCGCTTTGCCTCGTTTCAAATTACTGATAGCTTTTGTAACCTCACCTACAGATGGCGGACCAGTGTCTATATCCCATTCGGGTAATGGTAGGAAGGAATATGAAAGATTACAGAGACTGAATACATCTGCGCTGGCCATTGACAACGATTTTGAGCCATGTCACCTATTATCTCCAGCTATTGATTCCTAGAGTCATGTAAACAATTAAAAGGAATCAATGGTGAAATTGATATATATATTGTTTTCTTAAACACATAAACCTCTAACAACCTCAACAACAACAATAAGAAGAAGAAAAACAGAGAAAAACTTACATCCAAAAGGCTAGAAATCCTTGACGTGTTGCCCAACCCAATGGATTTGTGGTAACGCATAAACCCATATCAATCACATAACTTAACTGGTCTTCAGGACAAGTGGCAAGTAATTCACTTAATTCTATTGTTGATAAACAACCATCACGATCCTTTTAATTAAAATTAATAAATCAATCGATAAATCAATACATCGAAGAAATGAAAATCAGAACAAAATACAATAGAACAAAACAGAAATATTTCAATGAATTACATAAAGAAAATGATTGTATAATTATCAAATTTAGAATTTAGGCTTTGGATGTCCGATAAAGATTTCTACTGTACCAGGATCGGTTATGAGTCACACATCTTCTAGTTTGCCAGCCTAATGTCCAACATACGAGGGGGTCTAATATATAATATGACTGATGAAGCCATGTTTTGGTATGACCACCATCAATGAAGTTGAAGAATGACACCAATAATGATTGTAAATAACAACTCCATTGCAAAAGATTTCATAATATTCAGTCGATTCTAGCTATAATCCTTCAAAAACTTTAATTCGGGCGACAGTGAAGAAGCTTTCTACTAGATGTTAGCTCTATGGAGGATAGTATTACAGTGTACGTGTTCATACAAGAAAAAAAGGGTAGGAAATGCCAGAAATATAGAACACTAAAAAGGCGTACAAATATATATTGACTTCTCTTTATATGTGCATCTAGTTCAACTTTAGCTTGACACTATCTTAGACGGCAAGTTGACCTCCTAAAGACTTCACATATGACTGGCTCTTTACCCTCTTATGACACATGATTTACTTAGAAGTGCTGAACTGAAAATCTAATTCACAAAGAAGGACTCTTCGAACTCCATGTGTGTGTGTAGTGATGAAAACTCCCAAACCGGGAGTTCCAGCTGGTTTTCCAATGGTTCTCAAACAGATTTAAGCTCATGATTAAATCCTCCAACCAATCAGACAAAATCCCTAAAAAAAAGTGAAGACTTGAAAACTCAGCCTTTTACTGCAATCGCCATAAGTATATGACATAATTTCTCTATTCTTCTTTGGAATAGCAGTCACCTCTCTATCTCAACTTCATCAACTTTGAAAAGGCCTTCAGCAGGCAGCGTCGATCGAGAGGTGATTTGGAAAATACTTCGCTACTACCAAGGGGTGCCACCGACAATTATACATCTCATCCAACAGTTAGTTGTACGACAATGCTGCATGCCAAGTAATCCACAACGGGAAACTTACGGAATCCTTCGAAGTGAAGACGAGAGTAAGACAACGTGGCTTGCTGACTACTATCAACAATGATTTTCCTGATTGCAGTAGATTGGATAATGCGACAGACAACGAGAAATGAGGAAACATGCATAAAATGGACTCACACAAAAAACAACTTGGAGGATCTGGACTTCGCTCGTGATGATATATGTCTGATTTCCCACAAACTAGAAGACAATCAAGTGAACAGCAACAAGTTGGCAGAAGAAGCATCAAAGATAGGACTCCCTTCAGGTGGACATACAGAAAACAGAGGTAAGTGATGAAGATTCCTGACCAACACCAATAGCCATAGCAACAACAAAAGACAACAATCAGCCAGCATAAATGGGAGGAACCTGAAAGAAACAACCTCCTTCACCCACCTACCTACCTAGGAAGCATCCTTTCAACTATAGACGGATGGAACTGATGAGGATATCAAAACAAGGATCGGGAAAGCAAGACAAGCTTTCATTACTCTCAAGTTTGTGTGGAGGTCAACATCACTCAGCATGAAAAATAAGATCCGGATTTTCTACTCCAATGTGAAGTCAGCGCTACTATGCGGATCAGAGAATTGGCGCCGCGCCGCGTCACGAAGGGCAATTCGAACAAACTAAAGACCTTTATCAACAGCTGTCGTCGCTCAATAATCAAGATCAGACCGCCGGCCAAAAATGATCACCAACAGCAATCTCTGGCAATGAACGAACCAACCAACCAACCAACCAGGAACCGATTGTGCAACAAATAAGCAGGAAGAAATGGAGGTGGATTGGCTGGCCATACATACTCTGAGAAAACAAACTATCAAGTGACATCAAAAAACAGACCATCACTAGAGTGGAACCCGACTGAATGGGAAGCGGCGAGTTGGTCGTCAGTGCGAGGGTGGGGTGACTTGGAGGAAGTCATTTGAAGAGGAGATGAAAGCATGTGGGCAGACGTGGAGCCAGGTGAAAACTTAAGCAGAGAAACCTGGAAGCAATGGAGACTTTGGCGGCTGAAGCCCTATGTTCCTCTAGGAATTAAAGGAAATACTAATCATAATAATTTCTGTTTAACTTTGCCATCAATGACATTCGGGAGTCAGCTCTGAAGGACGTGTGTGGTGGTGCAAATCCAACTCCTGGAAAAAAACTTTTTCACCTCGAGTATGCAGATGATATTGTCTTACTGTGCGACAGATAGCACACAGGCTGCCCGAATCCCACCTAGTTCTCTGCAGGCTCCCGCATAGAACAGGAAAAAATGAAGACATGCTTCTCGCGTCCTATATATTCCCCCTTGGAACCCAAGGGAATAGTAGTAATGATGACAACAGAAGCGATGGAAATAACACTGATAAGTCAATCAATAAATCAATGATTGAATCTCAAACAATAAAAAGGAGAGAGAGAGAGAGAGAGAGAGAATGAGGAGACATAAGCATTTTCATCTTTATTCTATAAACTGGATCTATTACAAAGTTAACAGAGGGAACATTTTGTTTTGTGTGTGTGTGTGTGTGTTAACCAAATCTGCCTTAAATTATTAAACGCCTTAAATTTCTTATTCATTTCACATCCTAATCAGTCAATATCAGTGAAATAATTCATAAACGTAGGTTAAAAAAAACAAAAACAAACAAAGGTGGGGATTAGTCGCAATAGTGGAGAATGGGAGAGAGAGAGAGAAAGGGAAAACTAAAGAACTGAAATGAACTCACTCACCAAATCATATTTATTAAATAGGGTATTTAAAAATTGCATTCCAACTGGTGATATTTCTGTACTACAACCAGGTGAAATACAAAATCTAAAAGGGAAAAAACAAATGCAAAAACAAAGCAAGAACTAGAGTTTTATAGCAGAATAAACTGGTACCATCATATTGTTTATTTCGTTGCCTTCTCGTCAGCTGCTAACAGGCCAAAGATATTATTAAATATATCTACAAAAACAATTTTAACATACTTACCCACACAGACAGTTCATTTTAAACACAAAAATTGAAAATACCAGCGAAATACTAACACAGCGCCTTAGAAATGCGGCGGTAAAAAGAGCATTCCCTGCTGCTGTTGAATTACGCTGTATTTTTAAAACCACCCACTCCTCTTCTGCGTTCGGGAGTAAAAGACAAACTGCTTAATTTCGCCTCTTCCATGTGTATCTACCAATTTAACTGCACCTGTGGGGTGAGCCAGTTACATAGGCCATACAATTAAGCGTATCTCTCGCCGAATTTCCGAACATCAGCCTGCATAGTGGTTAAGCAAAGGACAAACAGAACCTATTCACATAGCGTTATTCTATCTCATCTTGTGGATACAGAACACAAGATTGACGTCAATGATGCTTTCATGGTCAATTACCACATACCCTACGAATCTCAATTTCGCCTTAAGAGTTCGACTACTAAATATTGCTGAGGCTGGCTGTTGGGATCCATATTGACAAGTCTAATTTATGCATCCAAAAGAAGTTAGTTCAGACATTATCTTTACTTTGGCCATTTAGGTTTGAATGATCCTGAATTTTTGTGGAATTTTCCTAATTTTAGTTGATATTCTCTTTGCTACTATATCTTTATTACTATTATAATTTAAGCATCTTTAATGAACTGTAGTAGCATTGTGATCTTACTTTACAAATCGATATTACTTAAAAAACACTAATATTGTTATTAACTACTAATCTAGAATATTCTATGTATATAAACATGCATATATGATTGTAGAGCCAGAAGAGGAGGAAATTATCGAAGAGGATATTCTTTGTTCGACTATTTTGTGTTTTATAAAAATCAATCGATCAATATATGCACACAGTAGCATATATATATATATATATATATATATATATATATATATAATATTAAACATTATTCCGAACAATAACAATCATACACAATGGAAACTTTTCAGCATTTCGAATTCGGTAGAAAGAGAGATGAAAAATATCCAGTTACCAGGCAATGCAAAGAAAGACTGACTAGTAACTGCTTCTTTCTGGACGCATAAATCAGGTTTCAAGCACTTGATGGAAATGGCTTCGATAAAAACTTGAGGAGAATTGAGCTCTTTTGCCCATTGATAATTTCGAACGACTTTCCGACGTCCACCTCATAACCCGTGTCGAGGAGATGTCTGGAGATGGATGGCACTGTTTAAAGCATTTGTTCCCTTGAGACAACGTAGCCTTTTTTGGTACATGTTCAGAAAATCGTAGATATGCCCTTCTTTCTGTCCTTCCAATGTAACTGCTCCAGCAGATACATGTAAATTTGTATGTACAGTTGGAGTTGTTAACATGAGAAGGATATCTATCGATTTTTGATTGCACCACAGAAGAGCAAGTTGTTCGATGGACAGGGACGAGTTTGCAGGATAGGCTATGGCTAGTGATGTACTCAGCCTTCTGTTGATCATCGCTGCAATGTTTTCACCTTTATAATCAAGCTGAACGTAGATTGGCTTTTTTTCTCACTGTGATTTGTTTTACATATGTTTTACATCGCTCTTCAATATCTTTTCAAGAAACTCAAGTTTTTCCTCTAATTTCTCTATAGAGCATATTCTCCTCGCTCTATAGTACAGAGTGAGTCTTGACTAGACCACGTTTAAAGCTATTTGGACAAAAGCTATTAAAATGTAAGTCTTATCCTTTCGATGTAGGCTTTCGATAAATTGACCTCTGGAGACTACCATCTTCTAGGCGTTCCATGGCAATGTCTAGGAAGTGAAACTTTCCATCACTTTCATGTTCCATAGTAAACTCAATATTGGTGTGTGCGTCATTGAATAATCTGATTAAGTCTGAAGCATGACTTCCATTGTTGCATACTATAAATGTAAAGCAAGCTTGTAAATAGCAAGATGAAGTATAATCAACCTGATCCAATCTGTCTCCCTCTCTCTCTCTCTCTCTCTAACTCTCTCTGATAACTGTGAAAAAAGTGGAGAGGGCAGCCACTATGAGGATTTGGCGTCAATTGTTCATTAGTTGTACTAATGGAATTAACCCTAACTAACTTCAACGACTTAGGCGTCAACTTGTTATCAGTCAGAGAGTGGTAATCTTGCTGAACACATTGAACGGCTACTGAAGAATAGACACAGATGTGGAGAGTATAAAGTTTTCTTTATCACCCTAGTTAAACAGTGGAGAATAGGCCTATGTTTATACTTTGAACAAGGCATTAAGAAGACAAATTTCGCGAGATGATATCATTTCGTAGTCTATTGATTTTGTACACACAGTTTAGGCTGTATGTGATTAATCCAAAGTGCTTCCATCACCTTCAATAACCTTGAATTAGAGTTATGTGAAATAATTGTGAAACAGTCATTAATATTTATTTTGTGACCAGACATTAATAAGTGTTTTGCAATGGATGATGCTGGATTTCTATTAAGATTAATCGCGCTAGGATTTTCGATATGATTTACTAGCCATTTTGGAACATGTTCTTTTCGACGGCATTGGAACATTCTGTTAGTTCTACCTATATAGGTGTCACCGCAGCTGCAGGTGAACTTGTAGATACAGTTTGAAGTAGAGTCCACAGAATTTCGTCCTTTAATCGTTGGAACAGGGATCGAAAATGTTCGGCAAGTGAGAAAAAGAGATGCGGCGGCGTAGAATATGCGTTTGATGGCTGATCGAAGTCTTTGAGTTGTCAACTGCATAATCTGGTCGCCCTTGAATGGTAGATTAATAAAGATGGCTTTCTTTGGTACAGAAGCTGTCTTTTCGAGATGTGGTTTTTCTTTGCTATGACATGTGATAAAGCTCTCCGGATAACCATTAGCTAATAAAACTGAATGTACATGTCGAAGCTCATCCATCAGTGTGTCATGTTTATACGTCTATAATTCAAGGGAGATACTCCTAAGGAGATTCTATCGCACACACTCAGGCTCCAACTAGACCAGCTCATCGTTTCCCCATTTGAATTACACTCAAGGGATTGCATGGTGTGTAAGCGCGATGCCACTCAATGGCTTCCTCCAACAACAACATATGTGTACAATCATCAATCTCAATCTCCTTCTGAATGCTTGTTGGGCGATAGATTCTATAGATTGATTCGTCACCTGTCACAGCTCCTTGTTATTCATCCTTTCTGACTGACCATTAGATCTTTAGTATGGAGCCAGCCACGCTAGATGTCGATTAGAGTTCAAAGTCTTTCCGAAATACTTTTCGTGACACACACACACACACACACCAGGTCTCTGAACCATATAGAAGAACTGAGTTGACATTAATGTTGAAAAAGCGAATCTCGTTGTCTCTCTGTGGAATGCTGTAGGTTTTCAGTGATTTCAGTTTATCGAAGGTCTTTATTGCCTCGCAATCATGACTGGCTTTGACATAGTCATTGGTGCCGACTGCCAGTAGTTGAAACGAAGCTACCTAGGATAAGTAAAGGAAGTGACCCAGTTTAAATTTCTCCCGTTGGCAGTGATTGGTTCTTGCTGCTGCTGTTGTTGTTGTTAGTTAAGTATCTTCGTCACCTGTGTCTTCTCCATATTCCCATGAAGTCCTGTCTTCATTGTCAACCCCATTTGCCAACTTGTTAGCTTCCGCTTGTAGATCTTTGGAGTTTGTGTGACAATGAACATAAAGCCTATACAACAGTGTGTAGCTGGTGTTCCTCAAGGTACTGACTGTTCTTTCTCCCTTTCTGTTTCTTTTTTTCTTACATGACTTGCCTCATTCTGATGTAGCCACTTTTGTTAAGTATGCCGATGACCTCTCTGTTTCTATGCCTGTCAACTCTCAGTCAGATTGTTCCAAATTAAATAACTTTCTGTCAGAAATTAGTCAGTGGTCCTCTTCAAACAGTCTTAAGCTAAATCCGTCTAAATGTCAGGTGGTAGTCAATTTCACTTTCAGACGTAAACGTGACCTACAACAACTTGCTAGCTCACATGACCCCACTATCATTGACTGCACAGAGATTGTGGCATAATAAGGTGAGCAACATGGAGGTTAGGCGTCGAGTTCTAGGTAAACAGGGGAAATCAATCGACGAAGTCGTGAAGCTACAAAGACTGAGATGGTTAGGACATGTGTTACGCATGTATGCCTAGTCATCGCCTCCCTCGACAATGAGCTATGTTAGCGGATATAGGGTCAGGCTGGAAAAAAGCTAGCGGCGGTCAAACAAAAACTTGGCATCAGTCAATGAAATCCACAACAGTTGGTCTAAGCCACGTAGAAAGGTGTAGACTTCCAGGCTGGTTGGGGTCCTCGGGACGGTAAAAATCTATGGTTGGAAACAATTGGTGACATGGCTCAAAATCGTTCTCAGTGGCTAGCGCAGATGCATCCACTCCCTGTGACTTATGGTCTCCAATGAAACTGTTTTGTATTTCTTTATTACTCCTTTGTCTCACACCTCTGCTTACTGTCTCTATTATGCTTTTCTTGTACTTTCTTCTCTTGCTTCGCGTGCTACACGGAATGTGGCGACTTGAACTGGTGCACATTTGTGCAAAGTTCTATGTCGAAAACAGACAGACAGACAGCACAGAGATTGAAATTACATCTAATGTCAAGTATCTTGGACTGAGTTTTTCCACTGATCTTTCCTGGTCTTCCCACAGCTCGGTAGTTACTAGAAAGATGTTTCGCTTAACATTCTACGTTAGGAAGTTACGGCAGTCTGGCATAAAGCAGTCTTTGCTTTCACAGTTTGTCAATTCTTGTATTCTACCCATCCCCCTTTACTGCTCCCCATTAATTAATCTTTCTTGGACTACTTAAGAAATACTTTGCTTTGCTGAGAAGGGCACTAAAAGCCGTTAGTACGGCAAGTGGGATATCGTTAAACCAACTGGTTAACACTACTGTGGATAGACATATAATGTTATGTAAGAAACTAGCGAATACAGTATTGTCAGACCCCGAGCATCCTCTCTATACGCAGCTCTCTCCTTGCATTTCATCTGGTAGAACTAGAAGCAGCTATAGGAGGCTATATGGTAGGACTACCAAGTACAAAAACTCCACAATACCATATCTGGCACAGCTGTTATGTGACACTGTTGTTCACATCTTCTATTGCACACCAATTTTATAATTCATTTCCTGTGGTGCATTGTTTAAAGTGTACACGCAACGCTGCTCTTTTTTTGGTTGTTGCTTTTTGTGTTTAAAACCTTATAAAATTTATGAGGTAATTAGATGCAATATATTGTAATGTACGCTGAAAAATTCCATACCTGTACCACGAATACTGTTTGGAATAAAGCTGTTATTATTATTATCATTACTATTATTATTATTATTATTATTATTATTATTAGAAACACAATACCAATCGCATAAAACTGTACAATACACCAACTTACCTAGGATAAAGATATTCTTCAGACAATCTCATATGATTTCCATAACCAAATCGACGTAATACTGTCCAAGTGGTTTCATGACGCCCCTTTTGTACAAACATTAAATGCAGGAAAAGGAAACCTGTAACAGAAGAAATGACAAGACACGCTGTGAAACGAACGATACGACAACCAGTTTCAACGAAATAGTTTGATAAGATTACAGAATTACGTAATTAAGTGTAGAGATAATATTTCTATTGCTGTTAATTTGATTCCCTTTTTAAAGGACCTTTACTGATATAAAACCATGCTTACGCCATGTAGTTGGCTGTTATAAGCCACATCTATGGTGTGAGACAGCTGATTATACAGTCAACCAGAGATGTCTGAATCTCAGTGCCTGAAGAGGGGTTCGAACTCTCGACTCAGTGACAGTTGGAAGTCAAGCGCCTAGAAAGATGTGCGACATCTCCATGATTTGAATAATGGCTTTGTCAAGAAGCATACAGTAGATAACTCTTTGTGTAAGTAGTCCAGTGGAATAATACACACCAAGTACGCGCCAGGGTCTCGCTTCGATTCCCCGTCAACGCAACCCTAATCATAGAAATCAGAAGACGTAAGTTTCGGAGCTAGTAACCCCAAACGTTCCACTCAGATCGCAAAGAATGAAGCTGAAAGAAACATTAAAACACCGAAGATCACTGAACAACTGCTTCATACCTGTTGGTGAAGGAATTTCCGCTAGTACGCATTGGCGACATCGAGAGTTGACATACAAGTGTAGAATGGAAGTTCGAGTCCAGTTACTCGAGACAGATTTCTCATCTACCTATCTATCAGGCTATAAGCAACCAACCACACTTATTGTTGGATGACGGACGGTTAATCCTACTAACCAATTATCACGTTACCTGAATTATATACACGAAACAGGATTTCAACCTGAGACTGATTGTCCGACAGCCAATCGGCTACTCTGATGACGCACATCTTCTTCCCTTCATCCGTCATAACGTTACTCACTGAAATGTTATCGAAGATGAGTACTATCGAAGAGTAGCAAAACATAGCGCTACATCGTGAATTGGCAGAAGTTAGAATTCATGGGCTCGCCATTGGATAGGGTCCCAGTGGCTTAATGGTCTACGAGCTAGCTCGCCTTGTAACCATCAGGTCCTGAGTTCGAACTCCGGTGGGTCTGTACTACTGAAGAGTTCCAAACTAGGACGAAACAGATATCCAGTACTCCCAAATTTTCCAATGGTTCTCTGACCAATGTCAGCTAATGATGAAATCCTGTAACCAATCAACCAAATTCCTACAAAACCAATACTCGAATAGTGAAATAGCCTCTCCCCGGTACTTCACAAACTTTAAATAACATTCATAATGTCATATTGTAACGACAAAAGGCAAGAGTCTGGCAAGTGATCGTTTTTTAAGGAAACCAACACGTATTTATATATTTTCATGTACATTATTACAGCTTATTCAATCAGACAAACACGCTCTTCTGATTGGTTGTTTCTTACAGAAAGTTGCCCATGCGCCACCATGTGACTGTTTCTTGAATGTCAGGTCATCTATATGTTAACTGTATCTGCCTACAGAAAGTCTGCTGTGATTGGTTGTTGGATCAGTCTTGTTCATATTTTCTCACCATCAATATTTGCGACATACCCATTGACGTAAAATGCTGCCTACCGTTTTTAGCTAGCCTGCTCTCACCACACTCATCCCCCCCGTCAAATAGCTTCGCGTGCAGGTGTTCCGACCTCCTGGGTGATACATCCTCTAGTTGAGGATTGCTACTGACCGGCTTGTCCCACTGCACCCATCGTTGGAGCTGACTGGCGTTAACTCGTTTCTGTTTGTCACCCCTTCGGATGGTATATACTTGACCCCGTCTTTTTATGATTGTGTATGGAAGGAGTTTTCGTGAACCTGGCCCGCATCCAACTGTATATCTTCTGTCTCTACACTTCACTTGGTCCTCGACAGCAAAGGTAATGCACCGAGTTTTTCCTTTCAGCTAAGACTTCGCGACTACTGATTTATTGTGAAATCAGTAGTTGGATAGCACTTGCAGCTATCGACCAGTACTAGCCACCTTGCCAGCTACCAGTCAGATAGAAGTGAACGAAGAAACACTGGACGTTTGATTCACAAGTTTAGAATTGAGGTGATCAGAAATGTACCCCCCCCCCTTTGAATAAAGTCAATCAGTTGACTCAGAAATTACACTGTCTGACCGAGGTGACATTTCAACCCAGTTTTGTTTGAAAACCGAAATTTAATGCGCTACGTTATAGGGTTCTACTTCAACTGAGGCTATCGGTCCGTACTGTCAAATTCCAATCATTGGGTGACGGGTTTGAAACCTGCTGCACCTCCTTCTGAGGTCTGTTATGCCGAGTGGTTTTACTAGCCCTCACACACACACACACGCAACTATAGTGTCTCTCATTCGCAATTGTATGCCATTGGCAAATAACCCCCCTACTTTGGTAGGGTGCTGGAGGAGAGGTGAAGCAACTATTCAGTAAACACTGGTGCTTCAACATTTCTCCTAGTCACTCCTGTAAGCTTAACAGAATACCGAAGAATTCCTCTAAGTGATGGTATAGGTTTGTAGCTGGAATCTAAGTTGAAATTCTCCACACAACCAAAACACTTCTTTTGTTGAATGAGTTGTATTCTCTGAGCCGGAGCTTTCGTCATCCTCCTAGACAACATCTGCCACGCCGAAGATGTTGTGGTTCTTGACAAAACCAACTTTCAAATCATGGAGCTGTGGAGCAGGCTTAAAAGCCTAACTGAATTATTCACAAGTGATGGAAGATATCAGTGGAATCCATGAGAGTACGTTTCACACTAATTAGGACTCATCAACTCGGTAAACCTGTATTTCCCACCAAAAATTGAAAGATGATTGTCCCACACCAGAAATCGAACCCAACATCCATCGTTTCAAAACTGATATGTATCCATATATATATATATATATGGTGGTCTCTCTTTCTGTGCTCTCTTAGTCTGTGACCATTTCACTTTGATGAACCTGTCTCCTTTAACAATGTATATTCCCCATATATTATATGTAATATGTGTGTTTGTTGACAGTCTGTCCTTGGTGATATATATCCATATAATATGTGTGTTTGTTGACATCTCTGCTATATTCTGCTATGTATATATGGATCGATACTCCATTATAATTAGCCAATCATGTTAAGACTGTCTACTGATTGTTCACACACTTGTTCGGACATTCATATATATTTTTGCTCTCACAATCTTGTGTGATTTGATTCTCCTTGTGTTTGGAAAATAGAAGTATCATCGCAAACCTACTGGTCTTCTGATTCCTGTCTTCCTTGCGTCAGGACTATTAAATTCTCGACCAGTACATAACAATAATTTGGCGACGAGTACATAATAAAAACATCAAAACATTATCCCCTGAGGTCAGTGGGTCACGACAGCCATCTCTAATGTAATCGATATCAGTTAGAGAACCATTGAAAACCAGCCGCAGGGATTTCTGGACAGCTGTTTCATCTTAACTTCGGAATCATCGGCAGTACGCACCCACTAGGATGGAACAGCTGCCTAGTATTCCAGTAATAGTTCTCAATGGTTCTCTAACTGATATCAACCCGTGGTCACACTCGTATAAACATATCTAATCCTTACAAACCAAACTCTTGAAAATTCATCGATATTAGTCGAATATCTTATTTATGTAATTATGCATAGCCAGTTTATCGATTATCGATTACACTGGACCGAAATATCCAATCCCTATTTACGGAACACACAAAGTAACTTGAAAAAATAACAACTTCAACCCTTTGTACACAAGGGATGGCATTCGTGTCCCACTTTTGAGTTTGAAATGATGCTTTTTGACTCCAACTCCCAGGGTAATACCATCACTTACTCACTGGGGGTTAGGGGGTTGGAAAGGTACATCTAGTTTAGAAGTTCAAATTACTAGAAAGAGTTCTTTTTGGGGTTCTCTGCTAGTCAGTACCATCCAAATAACAGTATGTTAACCCGAAGACATTGTTGAAACGTCCGTACTAAGAACCAACATTTCAAATGTTACATTTCATCAAGAACCACTGACTGACTGACTGAGTTCTAACATAAAAATTTCCACAGAAATGCACCAGCTCCAGTTGCCACACTCCAAGTATTACACCAACGATTCGAAATAATAATAAGCAGAAATATAAGGGAGAAAGAATAGTTACGTGGAAAAACATGAGGCTTTCAACAGATCGATATGCCAGATCACAGAGAGTGTGAATACATCTGCACCATTGACAACAATTTTGAGGCCAGAAGACAACTGCTTGAGACCAGTCACACACAGTGCGTTTAATGTTTTAGGTTTGGTTCCGTATTAGTAACTTACCACCCCCTCCAACCCCAGCGGACCACCGTAGGGGAAGTCAAGATGTACAAATTTCGGGATAAACCTTTTCTACTCCCCCGCCGTTTCCAGAATGAAGAGTAGACAAAGCTGGCATGCTGGTCATCCGAGGGAAACACCTTACTGTGGCTGTTACCTTTCTGTTCCCTAGTAGTACGACTTTGCCCACAGACCCCTAGAATGGTATAAAAAAAAGAATCTTACACTATACCGATAACTACTTCTGGTTTAATCGCTGTCCTAACAATCTGCGTGGCACGGTAAAACCTGTAGGAACATTAATTCCAGCCAGTATAGCTGGTTGGGTGGGTCATAGCGATATGCAAACCCGATCACCCCCAACCAAGGTGACAGCTATCGGTCGGGAAAATTATTACAATTGATATAAATATAAAACTTGGGCACTGTGGTGGTAGAGTATAACTCCATTATAGAAAAGATTTTGTTTTGATAAATCACACACAGTGTTACACAGTAATATTAAATGATGCGATCACTTTTCAAGCACAAAGTATTGCCACTCATAATCATATCAAGTCACTCACTCACTCACACAACTTTCTTGCTTCATTTATATACAAAAGTGAAGTTGATGGTTAGATATTTGAATAAAAAACCAATATAGGATGATGTACATTCAGAAATAATAACATTAGTGTTATCAATCAAATACAATCAGATGGGAAATAAATAAGACGAGTGTTTTTACAGTCAAAATAAGTAACTTGTTAGAATGTTATAATGTGAATTGAATACATTTTAATATTATTTATTATCCTTCTCTGATTTGACTGACTGGTGGTAATAATATCTTCCATGCATATCTCTGGTATTTGCGTTGAGTCATTTCTGTTGTATGTGTTGTGTTGGGTGTAGACTTGATGAACAAGGATTCAGTAATCAACCTCTCTCGCTCTCCACCTACCACAATATTACTTTTTAGAATTTTGACTCTATCCCCTCCAACCTATTGTATGGTTGTGTGTTAATATGCATGTAGTGCAATTGCTGACCCGTTTTCTAAATTACTTATCTTCGTGGGATCAATCATTCTAACCTTAGCTAAATTCTTATGTTTCGACGATCTGACTACCCCTGACCTACAAGTTTGATCTATGTAGTTGATTTAACTCACAGTCACTGCAAGGTATTTTGTAAATTATATTATTTTGTCTAAGTGGATCAACTGACAGGGTCCTTTACCCTACAGAGCTTGTCCTAACTGAGTGAGTTTCCAGTGGTGTCCGTCAAGGATGCCCATTATCTCCTTTTACTATTCAACTTCATCATAGATGTGTTAATGGACTTAACCCTAGGTGACTTCAGTGACTCAGGGATTGACTTGCTACCGTCAGGGAATAATCTCGTTGACTTGGAATATGCAGACGATATAGTCCTTCTAGGCGAAGACGCTGACGAAATGCAGAGTCTTCTAAACACCTTGAGCCGCAATCTACGAATGTTTGACATGCGATTCTCTCCTGCCAAATGCAAGATGATGTTACAGGACTGGACTACATCGACGCCTAATTTTAAAAATAGGAAGTGAAGTGGTAGAGCACATTGAGCGCTTCACTTATTTGGGAAGTACCATCAGCCAGTGCCAACAGGTTGATCTCTGACGAAATCTCAGCACGAATACAAGGGGCTCGTTTCGCATTTGCCAGTTTACGCCGACTCTGACGTAGACGAGATGTTCGACTATCGACCAAAGGGCGGGTGTATTGCTCATCAGTCCGCTCCGTCCTCCTTTATGCCTGTGAATGAGACATGGCCACTGAGAGTGGAAGACATGAAAAGGTTGGCTAGCTGTCTTTGATCATAGGTGCCTGCGCTCTATTTCCCGTGTAAAGTGGCATAATAAGGTGAGCAACATGGAGGTTAGGCGTCGACTTCTAGGTAAACAGGGGAAATCAATCGACGAAGTCGTGAAGCTACAAAGACTGAGATGGTTAGGACATGTGTTACGTATGCCAAGCCATCGCCTCCCTCGACGAGCTATGTTAGCGGATATAGGGTCAGGCTGGAAAAGAACTAGCTAGCGGCGGTCAAACAAAAACTTGGCCTTACCAGTCAATGAAATCCACAACAGTTGGTCTAAGCCAGCAACGTAGGAAGAAGTAGACTTCCAGGCTGGGGTCCTCGGGACGGTAAAAATCTATGGTTGGAAACAATTGGTGACATGGCTCAAAACCGTTCTCAGTGGCGCAGATGCATCCACTCCTTGTGACTTATGATCTTCAATGAAACTGTTTTGTATTTCTTTATTACTGCTTTGTCTCACACCTCTGCTTACTGTCTCTATTATGCTTTTCTTATACTTTCTTCTCTTGCTTCGCGTGCTACACGGAATGTGCAAAGTTCTATGTCTAAAACAGACAGACAGAGTGAGTTTGTAGGTTTGAATGCCACCCTAATTCCAGCTTCATTTAGAATCCTACGTAGGGCCTAAGATGTCCCCTCCGTATATGATATAACAATAGATGCCTTATATTCTCTCTTATTTATGTTATCAGTATTAGTTTCACCATTATTTTAATTTATTTCACAAATATAAACAAATATACGCGCTCAAAAACACATACAAACTTCAAAAAGGTATTTAAAAAAATATCAACCAACCTTTTTGTGTTAACCCATTCACAGTGACTCCACCAGGACAGGATTGTTTTACTAGCTGTTTAACATCACGCAATGATTGTGCAGTCAATGGGATAGAGAAACAACGCGTTTGAAACGCCTCCAATTCACGATCTGATAAGTAACCATCATTGTCTATATCGCATATTCGAAAGATTCTTGTTAAAGCACGTATACACTCGGGAGTAAGCTATTGATTAATAAGGATAGCAGGTTATATATATGAAGAAAAATAGATTAAAAGCATAGAGGCAATCAGTTTAAGCAATACAAGAGAACAATTGGTGGATGGTGGCTAGCAGTGGAATCCAGGATAACGCGCATTTCGTCCTATTTGGAACTCGTCAGCTAGTGGATGTACCTGCATTTCTCAGTGAGTGATGATGTTCCCACCGAGGCTCGAACCCAGTACCCATAGTTTCAAACGCCACCAACTATATACTAATTAAATACCCAGACATCGTCGAAGCATCTGCACAAGAAGCCGACATGTCAACCTGAGAGAGCAAGCACTTCGGTCCAATCAATCGACGGGAAAACCAAAAATTCAATTCAATAATACAAGAGAACGTTGAATGAGTCTAGGGATTTGATGGGTTACCAGTATCATCTGGTCACAGATACATATCACATAGAGAAGCGTCGAAACCCCATAGTGTGGAAGATATTTTTTCAAGTAATCAGTTGATCATAGTATCGTGTTCTGAAGTTGCATTCTAGTCAAGGTGGACGATGATGATTGCGACGATACCACAACGTAGTAACACGCTGTCATATCGCCTAATGATGGATTTTCATACTGAACTGTCCTACCTATTACAGAGGTTTGGATTACTATACCTTGAGATAAACATAATGTGTTACATGTGGTCAATGGTGGTTTGCAGTAGAATCTGTTGTCAAGCTAATTTAAAACAATTTCAACTGGAACAACATTGGGAGTGGCTGTCGAGGCCCAGTAGCCTGGTGGAATCACCATTGACTTAACTGACAGAATTCAATCTACACTAAACAAAGGATTAGACACATTGTATTACCCAATGTCCTATGGAAGTATCCAATACAGTCCTACAGGAGGTGGTCAATCGCGAACCCGTAGAGCTCAATAGTAACATCTCTGACTGCAAGCAGTGATCCACGTACCAATCTAAGACAAGACATCAATTGCTTGAGGATTTCAGATACACCCTGCTGACTAATGAGTGTCCACAAGCACAAAACTTGGGTCAGGTAGAGCTTTCTCCTGACGATTGCCTCCAACCATCTGATAACAACAATTCAGGATGACTATTATGCTCAAATCTCACTGGTGATACACATACATCCGTCTAAAGAGTTCAAAATAGGACGAAATGCACCTCCTACATTCCACTCTTCTAATCACCACTGAAAATAATTAGTGAAATTTTATTTTGAAGTGAATTGAAAGAATATCTATCACCTCTTCTTCTCAAGGGGAGGAGGCAGCATGGCTGACTTGCCGATTGGTTGTACAAAGGAAACATGTCCTACAACAGTGTTACATTTTATGATCTTTTTTGCGACCTGGACAATTGACAGTAGGTATAATTTGATATGGAACGACCTTTCCTAGAATTCCGTGAATCTGATTGCCTCTTGAAGGTAAAGATTATTCAACAGACCTTCACTTTGGTCTAAGATACTTTAACCCCAACGGGGCTATACACATGTACGTACGCCTTCATGATGATGACTGCTAAGAGGCATGAGATCTTTTTGGAACTAAGAGCTTTTAACAACTATTAACAATGTAACGATCGAGAGGTGGTTTGGAAATTTACATCGCTACTACGGGATGCCACTGACAATCATACATCTCATCCAACAGTTATACGACAATGCTGCATGCCAAGTAATCCACAACGAGAAACGTACGGAGCGAAGACGGGAGTAAGACGAGGCTGCCTACTATCACCAATGATTTTCCTGGTTGCAGTAGATTGGATAATGCGACAGAAAACGCAAAAATGAGGAAACAGGCATAAAATGGACTCACACAAAAAACAACTTAGAGGATCTGGACTTCGCCCGTGATGATATATGTCTGATTTCCTACAAACTGGAAGATTTGCAAGTGAAAAGCAACAAGTTGGCAGAAGAAGCATCACAGATAGAACTGCAGTTGAACATAGATAAAGGAGAGGTGATGAAGATTCCTGGCCAACAGCCACAGCCATAGCAACAACAACAATAGACAACAATCATCCAGCATAAATGGGAGGAACCTGAAAGAAACAACCTCCTTCACCCACCTACCTACCTGGGAACATCGTTTCAACTACAGGCTTCCGGAACTGATGAGGATATCAAAGCAAGGATAGAAAAAGCAAGATAAGCTTCCATTACTTTTAAGTCTGTGTGGAGATCAACAGCACTCAGCATGAAAATGAAAATATGATCCGGATTTTCAACTCCAATGTGAAGTCAGTCAGTGCTACTCACTATACGGATCAGAGACTTGGCCAGCGCGTCATAAAGAGCATCTCAAACAAACTACAGACCTTCATTAACAGCTCTCTTCGCTCAATACTCAAGATCATATGTCTGGCCAAAAGAGATCAGTAACAGGGACCTCTAGGAGCAAACCAACCAGGAACTGATTGTGCAGCAAATATGCTGGAAGAAATGGAGGTGGATTGGATTGGCCATACGCTGAGGAAACCATCAAGTGACATCACTAGATAAGCTATCTCTCGAGTGGAACCCGAAAGGGAAGAGGTGAGTCAGTTGGTCGTCAGTGCGAGGGTGACTTGGAGGAGGTCATGTGAACGGGAGGAGATGAAAGCATGTGGGTAGACTTGGAGCTAAGTGAAAACTCCAGCACCTGAGAACACTGAAAGCAATGGAGACGCGCGGTTGAAGCCGTATGTTCCTCTAGGAATCAAACGAAATAATAATAAAAATGTAAGTGTAAAAAAACAGTCAAAAGAGATAAGTGAATCACAATCATACTACTCACTTCTTTCTTTTCAGCATTATATAATGGTGCAGTTGGATATAATACGGCTTTTTGTGCAAACCAAAATGTTTCGCTAAGATTCAACATTGTCTTAGCTGAACACTAAATCAAACAAACAATCAATCAATAAAATAAAAGAACAAAAGGGTTTTTATCGATAAGAAAATGTGGAATACATTTTGGTGAGTGTTAGCTAAAGATGTTAAACAATAGGGAATACTATGCTTGATGATAGATCGATAGCATAACTTTGTGCTAAAGCCAGGCAAGCTTCATCCTTTAACAGATTCTGGGACATGAGCATACTTACCACCAGCGTCGAACAATCACCATATTTCTTGGCCTGATCATGGCACTCTACTCGAACTCTTGACGCCAGATGTTAACATGTTATGTCTGTGAGACCTGACCATTGAGAGTGGGAGACATGAAAAGACTAGCTGCCTTTGATCATAGGTGCCTGCGGTCTATCTCCCGTGTGAAGTGGTATAATAAGGTGAGCAATATTGAGGTTAGGCGTCGAGTGCTAGGTGAGAAGAGGAAATCAATCGACGAGGCTGTGAAATTACATCAACTGAGACGGTTAGGACATGTGTTACGCATGTATAACTAGTCATCGCCTTCCTCGACAACGGTCAATGTTAGCTAACATAGGCTGGAAAAGAGCTAATGGAGACCAAACGAAAACGTGGCTTCATCAGTCAAGGGAAATCCGCAGTAGTTGGAATTCATAGACCGTTCAATCAGGTCCCAGTGGCTGAATGGTCTAGTAGGTTCGCCTTATTACCAGAAGGGTCGTACTGATGAAGAGTGCCAAGCTAGGACGAAACGGCTGACTGTAGGCATAGTAATCCCTGTTGGTTTTCTAATGGTCCCCTAACTGATGTATCAGCCCGTGGTCAATCCTTTCTTATTTTTGTTTCATGGGAAATTATCATCAAGTCACGGTCTTTAGGTGAGGGAGATAACCAAAAGTAAAAATCATTAGAACAGATAATCAATCATGAATCATAATGATATAAGTAAAAATAAAAAGGGAGGTGGGAAAGTAATAAATTGGACCAATGACAGAAAAAAAGGGAAGCTTGATTCACCTACCTCAATGCATGTCTCCACTTCACAATACTCAGACATCAATGGAAGCATTTTCTGTAATTGGGAATAGGATACAACAAAAGAAAGAAAAAGTAAAGTAAAGAGAAGAACTCAGGATGAGTAAAACGGCAAAAAAAACATATCGACTCAAATTTAAACTTTGATTTTCCCTAGTTAGTATTACCCTTTGCCGGTGATCAACTGGGTTCGATTGAAAAGCTCCGTCACTGTCGATGGAAACGACATTACTCTATCACTGGGGAAGCAAGCAGGCAAATCCAATGGGTTGATAAGTCGAAAATAGGATGAAACAAGCATTCACTAGATTCCATACTGCTAGTCACCAGCGCTAACCAATTCAAAGATATCGTTGAGGCGTCAATAAGTACTAGGAGCTGACATTTCAAAATACACAGAGCATTTCGGTTCACAATATGCAGAATTAAACTAGCATTTCGACCACTTAACTTATTTGAGAAGGTGTATCAGCCAGCCCCAACGGGTTGATCGTTGATGAAATCTCAACACAACCGGTACAGAAGTCTCGTTTTGGCACTTACTAGCCAACTTACTCCATCTCTGGATTAGTAGACTTCATATCCGACTGGCTGTTGATCAAAGGGGAAATCAATCGACGAAGTCGTGAAGCTACAAAGACTGAGATGGTTAGGACATATGTTACGTATGCCAAGCCATCGCCTCCCTCGACAATGAGCAATGTTAGCGGATATAGGGTCAGGCTGGAAAAAAGCTAGCGGCGGTCAAACAAAAACTTGGCCTTACCAGTCAATGAAATCCACAACAGTTGGTCTAAGCCACGTAGGAAGGTGTAGACTTCCAGGCTGGGGTCCTCGGGAGGGTAAAAATCTATGGTTGGAAACAATTGGTGACATGACTCAAAACCGTTCTCAGTGGCCAGCGCAGATGCATCCACTTCCTGTGACTTATGATCTTCAATGAAACTGTTTTGTTCTTCGTTATTACTCCTCCTTTGTCTCACACCTCTGCTCACTGTTTCTATTATGCTTTTCTTGTACTTTCTTCTCTTGCTTCGCGTGCTACACGGAATGTGGCGACTTGAACTTCCGCACATTTGTGCAAAGTTCTATGTCGAAAACAGACAGACAGACAGAAAGGGCGTGTGTATTGCATAGCAGTTCTCTGTGTCCTTTATGATTATGAGACATGGCCACTGAAAGTGGAAGATATGGAAAGCCTGTCTATCTGTCTTTGACCACCGATGTTTACATACTGTCTACCGAGTTAGATGATATAATAGGGTGAATTATATTCAGGTTAAGCATTAGTCAATTGCTAGATAGGGAAGGAAAATCAATCGACGAGGTTGTGATGCTGGTTGCATAGATCGAGATGGTTAGGATATATATTACGCACGCATGCCTAGCCAGGACCTTCCTCGATGGTCAATGCTAGCTGATATAGGATCAGGTAGGAAAATAGCGAGTTAGTGGTGGTTAAACCAAAACATGGCTTTATCAGTTAATGAAATCCATAACAGTTAGTTTCAGCCAGCAAGATAGCCATGTAGGGAGGTGTGAACTGCCTGCGTGTCTGCTTACCTGGTTGGAGTGCTCGGGATGATCGTAACAACCAATGGGAATGGCTGCAGACAATCGATCACACGGATGGATGGCCAAGATGCATTCGCCCTCACTGATTTATAATATCCAAGCAAACTCAAATGGTCTTCTGTATTACTGCTCTTTTCTCTCAAATCGCTTTATTATCTCTCTTTTGAATTTCTCTTTACTCTTTTCTTGCTTTGTGTGCTACATGGAGTGCGGCAACTCGAACTGCTGCACATCAGTGCAACGTTCTACGTCGAAACCATTCAGTCAGTCAGCCGATCAGGACTGACCTAAACCCATTACATAAGAAACGGCTCTCGTGGCGCTCAAAAATAATTCCTTGACATTTGAAACAATGGGTGCAGGGTTCGAGTCTCAGTGGGAACGCCAACACACTCATCCAATAATCAATTAAGATGCAGATGCGCCTAGTGGATGACGAGTCCCAAATAGGGACGAAATGCACATCCAGTCGATAATCATTACTAGTCAGCATCAACAGAGGCAACATTATTATTTAGCGGCTAATTTGCGTCGGTGACACAGCGTTTAGGAGGTTCGCCGACTATGCACATAGTCCGAGATTCGATCCCCAGCCGCCAACGTACTCCTTTACCACGTCGCTAAGTCAGAAATAAAGCTGGTAAAGAGGAAAGATTGGCCATGAGGTTAGCAACCCCATCCTGAAAAAATAATCACCATTGCTACAGAAACTTCAAGCCTACTGGAACATATGGCTTCACAAAACTTTAGCTCTGAACTTTAAGTAACCGTGGTGTGTCTCCACGAGATGGAGGGTCGCTAGCCTCATGCTTAACCTCCCCTCTTAACTGGCCTTGTAATACAGACTAAAATGAGGTTTAGGAGTGTGTCACCGACTGGGAATTGAGTCCGGGACCACACGTAAGGCTTGCCTGGTTGGCTGGAAGGCAAGCATACTACAGCTGGACTACCAACAAACTAACTAACTAATTCTTTTATATCGCTTGCTCGATTGCATTTATTGGTTGTATAGACACACTCGACTGCCACCGACGGAGGAGTAACGAGTTCGAACCCTTTCTCCGCGCTCAATGAAGTTTTAGCAGCTAGGTAGCTATCATTGATAGGAACTCCAATATGTGCAAGGTTTGATCAGACTACTCAGTTACCGTTTAGGCTAAAGTAGCTAAAGACGAACTCGGGACCCGATGGGATGAATGTTTAATACTCATAAGCCATTGTACTGAAGCTCCTATTTCCATTCCCTTGAGTCCTGAATGGAACATACGACTTCAAGCCTTAAAGTTTCAGCCGTGATGATAATGGGGTCGGGGTCGAAAGGGTCGTTAATCTAACATACTCAGCCTTCTGTTTTTTTCACCAGGGAGTACAATCTACTAGTAAACTAGGTGAAGCTTTATCAATTATTATTATTATGATTACCTCTCGGACATCCAAACAGAAGCCTGTGATTAATTACCTTGAAGAATCTCCCTCCCCCACCACCCGAGATTTTGACTTGATTTCTGATCCAAAAGGAGATGGACCAGCATCATCAGCCGCCTTTCCATGGCTTCTGGTGACCAAAGCAGGCTCAAATTCTGAGGCCCTAGGTAGACCAATACATCTACAAGTCCAGTTTTAAATGCAAGACATTCGCATTCACCCTTTCAACTTTGTGAGAAACACTCCTGACGCGCGAAAACAGTGAATAAGATTTACATTGGCAGGGGCTATGTGGGTGGGGTGGGGGATTTGGGAGTACACATCGGCCGAGAATCGAACATATGCTCATAGTACTTTACAATAGCAAAATATAGCAAGAATATTCATTCAGACATCTATAAAACATCTTAGGCATCTTTAACGAACTGTAATTCCATTGTGATCATACTTTACAAATCGATATTATTTAGAAAACACTATAATATTGTTATTAACTACTAATCTAGAATAATAGTCTGTGTATATTAACATGCATATATATGATTGTAGGACCGGAAGAGGAATTTATCGAAAAGAATATTCTTTGCTCGCCTTGTAACCGGAAAGTGTTGGGTTTGAACCCCGATGGGTGTGTACTTCTGAGAAATCCCAAACAAGAGCGAAACAGATGTCCAGTACTCCCAGGATTTTTGCTACATCGGTGATTCAACAGTAGGATGTTCGCCAACCATGCGCATGTGGCCCGAGGTTCTATCCCCCGGCCGATGCACACCTTTACCTCACTTAGTCAGTTGTAACTCCGACAAAGAAGGAAGGTTGAAATTGGGGTTACCAATCCCACCGCATAAAAGAACCTCACTGCTATTGAAACTTCAAGTCTGAAGCTTGGAGCCCCATGTTCCACACGGGACGTAAAAGGAATTAGATAAAAAGAATAAATGGAGTTAACAATTCTACTAAAAGTAATAATTTAATTGCTGGATAGTGACTAGCAGTAGAATTCAGGATGCGCATTTCGTCCTATTTGGGACTCGTCAGCTAACTGGATTTACCTGCATTCCCCAGTGAGTGATGATGTTCCCACCACTAAGGCTTGAACCCAGTGCCCATAGTTTCAAACGCTAAAGCGTTGTCCACTAGACCACTTGGGCCACGAGAGCCGGCCACGTCTTGTGCAACGGGTCGTATTAACTATTTAATTGAATTCTAGATTCTAGTGAATACCGCTTTCGCGTTTAAAACTATGGGCACTGGGTTCGAGCCTTAGTGGTGGGAACATCATCGCTCACTGGGAAAGGCAGATACATCCATCTGACGAGTCCCAAATAAGACTCTAAATGCTCATCCTAGATTCCAATGCTAGTCACCGTCCACCAATCAAATTCTAATAGCATGCCTAGACATCCTCGTCGAAGCATCTGCACAAGAAGCCGACATATCAACCTGAGACGGAGCACTTCAGTTCAATCAATCGATAGGAAAATCTAAAAAATTCAATCAAAGTATTAATTGTTATAATAATAATAATAATAATAATAATAATAATAATAAAAATTCACTTACATCTAATTTACTTTCATGATTTATGTCCAATTTATTGCCGACAAGAACAATAGGTATACGTGTATCTGCATTTGTACTGACATGACGTATTAAAGGCAACCAATAGGCAGATATCTAAATACATAGAAAGAGGGAAAAACAAATGAAACAATATTGATTGGTCAAAGACTTAATAATAATAATAATAATAATTTGCTTTATTCCAGAAACAGTACTAGTGGTACAGTGTGGAATTTTTAGCACATATCTACAATATTGCATCTAATTTCATCGCACATTTAAAAGGAGTATTACAAAAAAATAAATATAAAAAAAACAACGAAAAGAAACACAAAAATAACAAAAAAATTGCAAATAAAAATACCAAGTAGAAAGGAAGATAAACACCAATAATGAAAAATATTTCAGTATCGGCTAGTGGAAGCTATGTTATGTGTATGCGTGGTGAACAGTAACAGCTATAATCATACAAGAAGTTATGAAATGATACTTAAGAATGTTTATAGCCAAGATGATCAGTTAATTTGATTGAACAACACTAAACAATCATGAAATAAACATTTCAGGTTGTGTGTTTTTATTGTCAGCTTTAATGCGGTGTTTGTAGTGAGAGTGTGAGTAATCATGCATAATACAACATTTTTTAAGATGGTGATAATGGCGTTCACAACCAAGATTGTCAGTTTTAATATTGCCGAACTGATAGGATCCCACATATTTTGGTATTGACTGTTTAATCTTGCATATATGGTATGTTATCATTCTCACACATTTTGGTAGTGACTGTTAATCTTGCATATATGGTATATTATCATTCCCACACATTTTGTTACTGACTGTCAATCTCGCACATATGGTATATTATCATCTCTCACGCACTTTGTTATTGGCTATTAAGATAAATTATTTCAAATGCTGTAAGCTGTCCATATTGTTGTAAAATGTATAAATACCATGGCTTTCTTTGTCGTTGTTGCACTTCAATACACAGTCACAGTCCAGCCTTTGTCTTTTGATATTTGCGTGCTTTACTAAATCGGAAGGTACGACGAGCAGATAGGCAGATTAGTTCAGGCGCAGACAGAGCAAGGTGACAACGTCTTCATTCAATTCCCTACCGTTATAACAAATTGGCGACGGGGTTTACCTTTATTCAGTGCAGTTATAACACGAACAAAAAAATAACAATCACAAAACTAATATTACATGATAGTTAATAACAGGACAATTTTGTAATACTCATAGTGATAATATAGTCGGGACCAGTAGATACACAAAACAAGGAATAGAATAAAGTACAAAAGAAAGTAAGCCAATGTTAATAATTTTAGGTAGCTAAGTATGTTTAAGAAGGCTGTTCACTACAGAATACAAATAAGAGACTTCCCTTATAGAACTTTTCGACGACTAGGCTATGCATTTAAGTGTTAGTTTGCGTGGATTTGATTGGTTGGAAGATTTCATCATGAAGTGGCATCGGTCAGAGGACCTTTGGAAAACCAGCAGGGAGTACTGGACAGTCAGATGTTTCGTCAGCCTAGTTCAGCAGTACAAGCCCACCACCAGGCTTCAAATCCTGGACCTTCCCGTTACATGGCGAGCTAGCTCGTAGACCATTAAGCCACTGGGTGTCCCAATCCAGTGGCCAGCCGATGAATTCCAACTTCTGCCAATTCATGATATGGTGCGACCACTAACTAGCAAATGTCATCTGCTGCGAGTATTAGTCCTCACACCCGATATGCTGTTCCCCACTGGTCATAACTTCTCACTAATTGACATATATCGATCAGGCTTACAGTGTGGTTAGATGACTACTTACCACTAAGACACTGATTACCCTCTCCAACCCTTCCCCTCTAGCACCCACCCGAACAATGTAGTCATTAGAATCCTGCAAAAAGATCAACCGTGGGTTTGGAAAACCCAATGGTGACATCACATAAGCAACGTCAGTTCCTCAAATATTATAGATATGCCTTGTTAACGAGTGATAATAAGCACAAAAGTTAGCAGGTTCACTGTTCTTACATTTTAACATGTTACAGGATTGATGACGAGGTGAAATATCGGTTTGAGAACCACTGTAATACCAGCAGGGAGTACTTGGGTACCCAGGTGTTTCGTCCTATTTTGAGACTCTTCATCAGTACGTACCCGCCACCAGGGTTCGAACCTGATAGGACCTAGCATGAAATAGTATATCATCATCCTTTCTCACGAATCGTGTGATTTATCTTGTCATGCATGGAGTTACTATGTGAATGTATCATCATTCTTCACGCGTATTGTGATTTAGTGTGTGAGATCAATTCAAATCGTCTTTTGTCTCACCTTGGTCTTTGTCGAAACACCAACCAATCAGAATAGACATTTCCAACCAATAAGAACAATCCATTCTCACGGTTGTGAGCTGACTTTAGTATGGTAAAGAAAATGTATAAATATCATCTTTTGTTTCCTAATAAATGTACAATAATACAATATCTTACAGTCACAGACCAGCCCTTGTCTCTTAATATTTGTGTGGCGCAGTGAATCGGAAGGTACAACGGACAAATAGACGTATTAGCGTGTACCAGTCGAGTTCATTACCGTTATAGTAATTAACAGATGCAGACATAACAAAGTAGCAACGGATTTATTCAGTACAGTTCAGTTATAACAGAACCCAGGTCCCTCCAGTTACGAGGCGAGCCCGTAGACCATTAGGCTACTGGGCTACTGCGTTAAACATATATCATGAATTGACAGAATTTGGAAATTCATGGACCAGTAGGGTCGGATCCCAGTGGCTTGATGATCTAGGAAAGCTCGCCTCGTCACCGGAAGGTCCTGGGTTCGAACCCCTATGGGCTCATGCAGATAAAGAGTCCTAAACTAAGACGAAACAGCTGGCTGTCCAGTACTCCCTACAGGTTTTCCGATGGTTCTCTAACTGATGTGGCAGCACGTGATCAATTCTGTAACCAATCAAATCCCTGAAAACCAACGCTTGGAAACTCCACTATGCATAAACGCAACATGATATAAATCTGAATAACTGTCACATTTTACATATATATATATATATATACAAAACTTAGTCAAAACGATGTTTTGATGTGTATTCAGACGTCAACTAACAGAAAGAGGTGTGTCGGTGGCACAGCGGTTAGGCCGCTCGCCGACCATGCGCACATGGTCGCAGGTTTCATCCCCGGCCGCTAAAGCACTCCTTTACCTCGCTAAGTCAGAAATAAAGCTGGTACAGGAGGAAAGGTTGAGCTAAGTGAGGCTACCAACCCTATCCTGTACAAATAATAAACACTGGTACAAAAACTTCAAGCCTTTAGCTTAAAACCCTATGTTACACCACTAAGAACGCGAAGGAATAACAAAGAGATTTATCATGTACCAAGATACGAGCCACACACTAGCTAAGTGAAGACTTTTGATAGTACTTAGTTGCCCCCCCCCCACACACACACACCCTAGAATAGAAGGAGCCGACCGAACTCGTACCTGAGATCTTTTAATACAAGGGTGAGTGTTCCAGGTAGTCAGCCATACCTCCAAGACATCATCCAGCATATTTTGTTAAATTATAATTGAAGATATTAGCCTCAAATGCTTCTTAACAGTCGCTTAGCTAACCACGACGATAGGGAGATCTTTTCTGATATGTTCGTTAAAATACTTAAATCATTGCGTCAAAAGCTGCTATGGTTATGGAAGCGTTAAGGTGATTAGGTACTTCCCAGCTCTTCATACATCGTGTAAGTTGATTTCTCCGTGAAATTACTCAAAAGAGAGCATTAGTATGGTGTCAATGCAGATGCCGAGGAGACAGTTTTCTTGAGGCCAATCATACACGATCTGTCTGGATTAGTTTTTAGAGTTGTGTCCGTATAAAGCCTTTACAGCTGGACTACGGTAGGGATTATTGGAATAGCTAGCTTAGTTCAGCGTATCGGTAGTTCAGGGTAGAGTACTCACGAAGCATGAGCATGTTCTACGATTCGATTCCCAGCCAATGCACTCATAAAACCCGCCTAGCTGATAGTACATCCAGTTAAGGAGAAACAATACCACCGCTAGTGTGAATTTGAAGTCAGGGGCCCTAAGTCCCGATTGGGAACGTAAATAATAGTAATAATAATCTACTTTATTCCAAAAACAGTACTTATAATACAGAATGGAGTTCTCAGCATTTGTCACAACACCTTTGCATCTGATTTACTTAAAATATAAATAAAATTAAAAATTAAAACAAAAGTAACCAAAGGAATTTGTCCACGCTTACGACATAAAGTCAAAAATATTCGAAGCACGAATTGAAATCATTAAATATAATAATAATAACAGTGAGTTTGTTTCAAACAGTATTGTCGATTCAGTTTGAAAATTTTAGCATGTTACTATAGATTATTGAATCTAATGTTCTGTTGATATAGTATAGTGAGGGGAAATACAAGATTAACAGTGGTAACACAGCTTAAACGATGTTCGCACTTATGAAAAATAAATAAAAACAAAAAATTGAGAGGATTATAAATATAAAAAATACAATAACAATAAAGTTTGGTACTGTAAGGGTGGAAGAAATGGTTTATTAAGTAGTGCGAAGAAGGTTAGTTAGTTATTTCATGCCTGACACCATTTTCATCACAAAAAGTGCGTGCCGCGAAATATGGTATAGTGGAATTATTTTTATACTTAGACGTACGTGCGTAAATTCTTCTAAAAAGGCTTCTTGTTTTACCTGAGGAGGAGACACAAGGTTGGAGCTGCGAGTAGAGTGGGCGCTCAGAGTCTGACAAAATTCCTTTAGCGAATTTGTTACATGACATCAAGTGCCTATTCGTGACAATGTCAACGATATGGCCCAATGGGATACCACTCGTCCTACTGACAGTCTTCAGAGTGCTACACAGTATGACATAGTCTTTTTTGAGCAATCCAGGAAAGAATAAGTAAGGGTGAACAGTAGAGAAGAATAGGTAAAATACGCGAGTTGACAAACTGTAAGTGGAGGGGTTGGTTGGGTTATACCTGAGTGCCTCAACTTCTTAATGTGAAAAGTCAGACGAAATATTCTTTTAGAAATCGCTAAGACATGGGAAGACCAGGATAGGTCAGAAGAAAGAATTAATCCAAGATACTTAACTTCAGACTTGATTTCTATATCAGTATCATCAATTTTGCAAGGGTCATGGGAATCCACAGCTTCATTTAACTTTCCTATACATCGGAAACTGAAATTAACAGTCTGGCATTTGGAAGGATTTAGTTTAAGGCCGTTTTAAACGAAGACCATTTGCTGACTCCTGATAGAAAGCTGTTCATTTTAGTACTGTTTAGCTGGCTGGAGTTAACAGACGTTGAAATAGTTAGATCATCGGCATACTTAACAAAGTTCATTTCATCATCAGACTGAGGCAAATCATGTAAGAAGGAATGGGCATAAACAATCTTCTCAATCAATTTAACCAAAGGCAGGAAGGCAGAAAGAATAGAGGAGAGTATAACTCACCTGTTTAAAAGAATTTTCATCATCTAATGCATGTACCAGACAAATAACATTTGCACGTTTTATCTCTGCGCATAACTGTTCATGCGATTGTGTCTGTGACGAATAATCAACAATTTGTGTAGGAATGTGTTCAGGCGTTACATCCTCAGGGATTGTAATCTCTTCAGCTTGTGCAGGTACCTAGTAAAAAAATGGTATGTAGAGATAAAAAGCGCTAATAGATATATATAATAAACTTATTTAATAAGTAGAAATCAAGCAATTGGTGGTATATACTACTAACTAATCGATTTGAGTAGTTGAACAGCACTCATAACAACCAGTAGTGGTACTTCCTGGCCAGTCAGCTAGATTGAAGTGATTCATACACCGGACAGTTGTTTCCCTAGTTAGTGACTCAGCTCATCAGAGGGATGAAGAGGTTCAACCCAGCTCAGAGAGACAAATCAGTTCAAATCACCCGAATTCTGACGTGGTTGTGTTCTCTGAGCTGGATGGTGTTTTATTTGCGCTTTCATCGCCCTACTAGGCGACATCTTCAGCTCATACTTCAATTTGAACTGAAGTGAGTTTTTAGATTCCTCCACGAGTTTATCAATCATCTCTCCCGATGGGTGACCTTGAACGTGTTCGGTTGTTTTCGTGTGTTTTCACACCTTCTAGGCTACTTGTGGTATTGGAACTGATTGTTTCTTTGACATGAACTTTTGCATACAAACATTATTTCACAGGGCCAGCCAGGACTCATTGCAGCACTCCCACCTTAAGGAACATTGAAGAAAGATAACTTATGGACGTCTTCCAAAAGAATGGATATCCACGGAACTTCATCAACAGACATATCCCCTAAGAAGGCACAAAGAAAATCGCCCTACAATATACAAAGGACATCTCAGAAATCACTGCAAGACTCTTCAAATTTTTAAGAATTCACGCGGCACACAAACCAACAAAATCGCTTCACTCAGTTCTACTCAACAGCGAAAGAAGATAAAACCAACATCGTCAACAAAATAACTTGTAACAACTGCGAAAAACACTAAATTGGTCAAAGTGGACGTACCCTTCGTTTTCGTATCCTTGAACATAAGCTAGCTGTCAAAAGACATGATGACATCCACTCCCTCATATCACTACATACAGACAACCACGGACATCAATTCGACTGCGACAACTAACGTTCAAATATTAGACAGAGGAAACAACAAGAATGCTAGAGAATATTTAGAAGGCTATCTGGTATTCCAGTAAATCATCAATCAATAGACACATCGAGATAGACAAAATTTATCAAGCGATAAGAAGGAAATTTCACACACAAAGGGTCAAAGTTCAAGTCAAAGAAACAATCAGTTCCAATACAAGTGGCCTAGAAGGTGTGAAAACAAAAAAAAGCAACTAAACAAGTTCAAGGTCACCCACCGGGAGGGATGATTAATAAACTCGAGGATAAATCTAAAAGCTCACTTTAACGAATTGAAGTATGAGCTGAAGATGTCGCCTAGTAGGGCGATGAAAGCTTCGCAAATTAACTATCCAGCTAGCTCAGAGAACACGACCACATCAAAATCATTCACCCGAGCTACAAATCTTTTCCATCATATCATCCGAATTCTGTCTGACTGGCTGGTTAGCTAGCTAGCTGGCTACTTGTGAAGAATAAGATGCAGATGAGAAACGCATCACAAATGTATTGAGGATTCTTCCTGAAAAGGAATTTGACTGACAACAATACTTACAATGTGTAATTAGAGGTAAATTGGTGGATGGTGACTAGCAGTGGAATCCAGTCAGGATAACGTGCATTTCATCCTATTTGGGACTCGTCAGCTAACTGGATGTATCTGCATTCTCCAGTGAGTGATGATGTTCCCACCAAGGCAGTTACATCCAGTTAGCTGACGAGTACCAAATAGGACGAAATGCATGTTATCTTGGCTGGATTTCACTGCTAGTCACCATCCACAAATTAACTTCTAATTACATGCCAAGACATCCTCGTCGAAGCATCTACACAAAAAGCCGACACATGTCAACCTGAGACTGAGCACTTCGGTCCAATTAATCGACGGGAAAACCTAAAATTCAATTCAATACTTACAATGATTTAAAACCCCAAGGGTTTAGTTTGCAGCACATGTATGACCTTCCAAAGATACACGAAAATCAAGCCTTCTTGAGACCTATACTTTCAACGATTAACTCGCCTTAGCACTAGGTTGCTTTTTGGCTTGTAGACAGGTTGGAACCTATTCGTCAACGGCTAGCTTTGTACACCAAAAGTGTGAACCACATGAATGTTTCAAACAAGTTCATGACGTCATTTGATGCAACCTCCCTGCTCACAAGGATCCCAAACAATGAAATTATTGAGATCATTTGTCAGCATTCTGATCTTCTCCCACTCCCAGTGTTGGAATTCAAACGCCTAAAGACAATATGTACCATGGATGTACACTTCTAGTTTGACAACACTCTTTACCGCCAAACAGATGATGTAGCTATGGGTAGTCCACTTAGTCCTGTTTTAGCTGATATCTACATGTCTAACCTTCAGAAAACAAAGTTGAAGCATGCAATTGATCAAACAACTTCCTATTGTTGATATGTCGATGACACATTTGTAGTGTGCAACAGTGAAAGTCATACTTCCTACCAACCTACTCAGATTATTCAACGACGCATATACAAATAGTGAATTTACTATGGAACATGAAAATGAGTTTGACCACGGATTGATATCAGTTAGAGAACCATTGAAAACCAGGAAATACTGGACAGCTGTTTCGTCCCAATTTGGGAATCATCGGTAGTACGCACCCACTACACTGTGGTTCGAACCCAAGACCTTCCGATTACAAGGCAAGCTGGCTCGTATACCATTCGCCCATTGGGACCTGATTCAGTGGCTACTACATGAATTCTAATTTCTACCAACTCGTGATTTTTAACCTGAAGGTCCTGGGTTTGAACACCAGTGGGTGCGTACTGCCAATGACTCCCAAACTAAGATGAAGTAGCTGTCCAGTACTCCACTAGTGGTTTTTAATGGTTCTCTAATTGATGTCAATCCATGGTTAAACTCGTAAAAATAAATTTAATCCTTATATACCAACTCCCGAAGATGAAAAGTTACATTACATTGACATTACCATGAAGCCCCTAGAAGATGGTAGTCTCCAGAGATCAATTTAATGAAAGCCTACATGGAATGGACAATTAGCTTTTGCTTTAATTGCTCAATTTCATATCTGATATGTTGCAGCTTGTGGATCTCTTCTTTCAGGCATAATTTTTTTTTAGGCTTTCTATTCTGCTTCTAACTCTGTCCGTTGGAACTGGAGCTCGTAGACCTACATATTTAGGAATGATTTCACTTTTTAAGCATCGAATGTTGAAAATACGATGATGTTCATATCTTGCTTCACAGTTTGCGAAAGTCGAATGAATTTATTGATAAATCTTCGTACAAGAAGATCATAAGTCATATTAATAGATGTGTACAACTTGGGCATTGTGGTAGTAATTCCATATTAATTTTCAAGTGTTGGTTTTGTAGGGATTTGGTTCGATTGTATGGAGGATTTAATCATTAGCTGACATCAGTTAGATGTCAGCTAATGATTAAATCCTCCATACAATCGAACAACAAATCCCTACAAAACCAACACTTGAAAATTAATCCGATGCTCACTAGCGACTGGCCCTATTCAGGCAGTTAACCTGAGGTTCTAGTGGGAAGCCGTGACCAGTAGGCTACAGCAGGTCGAAGATGAGGCAGTAACTCATCGAAGAAGATATTGCGAAGTGGTCGCGCTATTTTGTGAATTGGCAGAAGTTAGAATTCAAGAACCATTGGATCGGGTCCCAGTGGCTCAATGGTCTACGAGCTCGCCTTGTAACCAGAAGGTCCTGGGTTCGAACCCCGGTGGGTGCGTACTGCTGAGGAGTCCCAAACTAGGACGAAACAGCTGTCCAGTACTCCCAGGTTTTCCAGTGGTTCTCTAACTGATGTCAGCCCATGATTAAATCCTCCATACAATTCCATATTAGTTTGTTTATTAGATATATCACACAGTGAGTGAAACAATATTAATATTTACTGGATGACAGTTTCGAGAAAAATTTATTGCGGTTCATAAGCATTTCATCAATTATAATCACACGAATTTCGGTGTGATTATAACTGATTAAATGATTATGAACCACAATAAATACTTACATTTTAATAGTCAAGACACTGTACTATGGAGCTAGGGAGAATATGCTCCAAAAAGAGAAATTATTAGAGGGAGAATTTATGATTCTCGAAAAGATGTTGAAAAACAACGTTCATCCTCAGAGAGATTCATTAACAAATATGGAAAATGTGAAGAAGACTCAGACATCAAACAAATCACAGTTGGAACAATTAATAGAAGATTGAAAATGTCACTAGGCAGAGCCTATCCTGCAGAGCTAGCTAAGTTGATTCCCGTCTATCGAACAACATGCTGTGTTAGATGGTTGGAGGCAGGAAGCCTTGGACCTAGGTTTCGTGCTAGTTGGCACGTCTCAGTAAGGCGTATCTGCAACTACCTTGAAGAAACTCTCAAGTCCCTTCTGAGATTCGAACCATCATCCAATCAATGTGCACCGTCATGTAGGGGGGCTACCTAGAATGGTGGTCACATTACAAACCTGACTGATAGAATTCAGTCTGCACCAAAGACAGGACTAGACACATCACACTAGTTACTAGTGTCCAATCGACACATGCTGTTTGATGCAGTCAAAAGTCGACCCTTCTCATGTTAACTCCAATTGTGTATACAAATTTACATGTTTCTGCTGGAGCAGTTACGTTATCAGAACAGAAAATAGAATGGCACACCTGCGACTTTCTAAACATCTGCCGAAAAGCCTACGATGTCTCAAGGGAGCAAACGCTTACAGCAATGACATTGCCAGGCATCTCCTCAATACGCGTCATCATGAAGTGGAAATCGCGACATCCTTTAAAATTATCAATACATGTGGCGATTGAATTCCGGTCAAGTTTACCGAAGCAATCGCTGTCAAACGCCTGAAACCCGATTTGTGTGTTCAGAAAGAAGAAGCAGGTAGCAGACTTTTCTTACCCTGGTAACTGGTTGTCTTTACTCTCTCTCTCTCTCTCTCTCTCTCTCTCTCTCTCTCCC